TTCTGAAGTATATCGGGCTGCTGTTACAATTTTTCAGTCTTTTGAGTTACGTAATCAGCATATAATGAGTTGCTTTACACGCTAAGAATGCTTTAAAAATGTTAATCAAAGTATACAAAGGCGGGAAACGTCGTAAGCATATGTGATACGCTGAAGAGAACACAATTACATCTACCTCTATTATACGCTGAGAAAACTGAAGATGATCGACAAATGTTGCGACGGTCACCAGCACAGCCCCAACCTGTTGCGATTAAAACAAAAATGGTGGGTTTTACTGCACGAAATATATACTACATATCTTTGAAATATCCTTACAGGCTTTCTGTTCATCGCGTATTCGAATCATGTTGGCTGCTCGACAAAAACAAACTATTAAGAAAAACATCTGCCGCCAAAGGTGCGATGCGAAAGTGCATCAAAAAATCGCTAGGTTTGTTCTGAGCGACATAAGACTTGACCTAATTGCATTTGCGGATGCCTAGGCTTGATGCCTCCAGGAACCAGAATCGCGTTCACAGCGGCAGGCGGAACGCAAATTGGATTTGCAAGTTGACACAAAAAAACAGCAAGGCTTTTGCGCTAGCATGCCGAATGCTAAACGATTTAATCTGAGCTTTGCCAGTGCTTTACGAGTGTAACGCCATTTGATGCGGTTCGCTTGAATATTTTGGCGCCTACTCGGTATGCAGAGACGCTGAACGCCGATCGCCGGTTGCAATCACATTTGCGCACCAGTTGACAGTCAAGGGAGGGAATCAATTTCACCCGTGGACCTCCTGATAGTGACAATTTAAGTTGCAGTACACTGAGCCTTTCTCCGATCTGGGTTTTAGTCGATTTTTCACAACCAAGCTACTCCACTTGCAGTAATCGCAAGAGTGGAGTGAATGTCTCTCAGTATGAAAGTTATGTCGAGATGTCCTTGCGCTGCTTTGAGGCATAAAGCAAAAGGATCGCCGCAGCTTGAAGTCTTAAATTTCTGTATAGTAACGCTCCCATCCGCTGTGGCGCAGGAACAATACCGATACAAAGATGATGCGCCGCCGTAAATACTGACATTTGAGCTTGCTTGTTATGCAGCTGAGCATTTTTGTGGAACCATATCAGCTGCTAAAGACCAAACACTTCGTGCACTTCTGAAGAAATGTTACATTAAGTGACCGTTTTATGATTGTTTTACTGCCACGCTTCACTTCATAGAAAACCTCACTGTATCAGAGCAACGGGATTGTAAGATAGTTCGGCGTATTGCGTCCGCCGAAATAGGCATTATGCATCTCAGCAGCTTAACATTCGTCGTGGTTCAGGTTCACGCGCTCGTCGCACTTTGTGCACATTAGCCGCAGAAGAAGTGCGAGACATCGACGGTGAGATGCACGTTCAGAAATGGAACGCCAAGTCTTCTATCTTTATGTTGCTGGTAAATTGAATCGCCCAAAATGAGCTGGATGTGCTTTAAGCTCGCGGTTCAAAATGAATCAATTGTGGGATTGTAAAAAAAAATTACAATCCCACAGACGGCCTTTGGCGCCGATATGAACATATGCAAGAGCACCATCGTTCTCGCACCTACACGCCGACTACAAGAGTGCGCGCACGCCGTTACCACACCTTGATGTCGCCGTTGGAGCATTGAATACAATACTTTAATGATTGGGTTACCGCCTTTAGTTAAACGGGTTGCCCAACTACATGACTGTTTTGTTGCATCGGAGCACTTGAATACCAGGAAGATGGGAAGTCTGCATTTTGAATGAGCACCAGCGACATCGACTTGGGCTGATTACGATGTCAAGCTGTACAGCAAGCCGGCGAGATAAACTGAGCTGCCTGCGAAGATTGTGCTCTTTGCTGTGTGGTCTACGCACAACAAAACTCCAAGATTCCCATGAGGAAGCAGTAGCTATACTAGAGTCTCGATCGAAAGAACAAGCAGTGCAGACAACAATGCCTAGCGTCGCGACTCGCGTGAGATGCAGCGCCGCCCGCATGTTTGATAGGCGTCTAAAGATTGTTTCAATGACCGACTCCGACGTGACGACCTTTAAACATATCTGCGCAAGTCTGCGGTCAAACCACTGTGCAAGAAAGGCTCATGTGTAATCAAGATTTACTACTAGCCGGTTACGTCCGTGATAGTCAATCTGAAGTCACTGGTAAAGCGTTAATACACTGACTTCAGAGCGTAGTCTCAACTTGGTCCATCAAGATTAGAAGAGATGTGTTGAGAACAGCTATATCCACCGCCACGTATACTTCCTCGTCGACTTGCATTACCTTGTGACAAGCTGCAATATAGAGGCGTATCCAATGTTCATATTCATACAAATGACGTTACCTAGGCGTTCGTGCTTTGAATGCTGGAAGGCATAACCTTCGGACAAAAGCTTCATCTCTTGGATCTAGCAACTGTTATTCAGGCTGCAAGAACGCCTGCTGAAGAATGGCTATCATTGGTAAAGCCCAGCGGTCGAGCAATCCATGCCTGAGATTGTCAGTAAATGTACTCGCCTCTATGTGCAGGATCATTCAGCAGAACAGCTAACGACAACTCAGCAACGTACATCTCAAAGACCGAGTTCAAGTCGAAGCATAGAATCGAATCTAAAAGGTAAAGTTGTTTGATGCTGCCAAGCAGAGCAGCCACGACGGTTAGACTGCCGGCATCACCCATTGTAAAGCCCCACGGCTCAGTAAAGAGTAGCGAGATCAATTAAGTGGCATCTTCACTTGGTGCCACAACCCCCTTTATTGCACCGCGCCGCAATCATATTTCCAGCGGAGAAGTTCTTTGATGAACGTTTGAAATTTGATGGTTCAAAGTCATCGCAGGGTATTGGCTCCATTGGTTTGACTGAGGCACCGTCTGCTTGTGGTTACGCATCAGAACGTAAGAAGCTCACGTTCGCTGTTTTCGACAACACGAGAGATCGCACGGCAGCTTGGTCCGGCGCAACCTGGCGTTCTCGACAGCCCAAGAATCTTGCTGTCAAAAACTTTTCTGCAGTCTTGCAACTGCACCTTCAGTACATAGGTGGTCTTAGACTTAGAAGCGCTTTCCCTCGATCAAAGATGCAGCTCTCGGGTAACAAAGCAGGTAACAGGGGAGCTACCAGAAACTCGATCGTGTTACTGCACGGCAAAGCGGAGCATGATGCTGTGTGCAAGTTATACAGCGGTGTGTTTGGCCTAGCAGCACACAAACTTGTCGTAGTGACGGTCGCAAAGTCGATCCAACATCAATACAAACTTTTATAGGAAGTAGACGCAGTGAACATACGTTTGATGTCGGATTGGGTGTGCCTCGCACCTACGACACAGAGGCTAACGAGCAATTCCAAGACAGCAAAAACGACTCGAGTCACACATACCGGATCTAGTGGTGTATTTAAGTCGACGATAACAAAGCGCGTCGCCCTCTATCTTGTTAATTGGCCGATTAGCAAAAAAATTGCTTTTTTGACGGCAACGGTCGCGTAAGTGTTGGAAATGTTGATGGGGATATAACCTACCAACAATTTCGCGTAGAAGTAACGTACTGGCACCGACAGGCAATATTGGTAAAGAGTAAAACCGGATCCAGAATGATCAGAGCGCAGCAGCGTGCGAAATTCGCTGACGATTACAACTTGATTTGAGATAAAATCCAAAGGTCAAAATGTGAGATGCGTCTCGGAACTTTTGTCTATTGATCCTACAACATCTCGTATCTAAAAAGAAGCCTACAGATGATCAACCGTAAAAGTATACGATCATCAAATACTTTCAATCGTCTTGTGATCAATACTGACCTTAGCAGCAATTTGACAAACCACCCATACCTGCTACCACATAGCTGTCAGCTGCATGGAGTTCCGGTATCAAAAGCTCGACCAGTTGACTTATCCAGCTTGCGCAGCGCTTTCAAGCCATCTTGAATATGATTTTCACTCTAATCCACGCTGTTTCTGCATGCAGTGCTGACCTATCACCGACAGCAACAATCGCAGTAGCGTGTTTGGGTGCAGGGGTTTTGAGCACTGTATCGGGACTCGCCCTTCTGCTTGGTCAGTAATTTCCTGATAGCAGTGGTCATTCTTGACCAGTGTCAGCACGACGAACATGAGTGCGGCTCATAAATTTTTAATAATTTTGATGCACGTGACACCACGGTATTTGCATCCAAGAGGGTCCACCTCTCGTGGCGACTTAACGGCACGACATCTTCGGGATTCAAATGAACGTCTCAGTACGTTAAAATACGTCGATCTCATCACAATATCGCTGATCGACTTGCTGTCGCCACACAAAGCACTGCTCAGAGCTAGCGGACAAGCGGTGGCAGTCTTCACAATGTGATTTTGAATATCGGTTAGCTTGGCTATGCCAGAATATTATCATCCATCTCTGAGAGGTCGTCAAATTCTTAGCCAAGCCGTAATAAATTCTTGATGTCTATCGTCGACTCGGTGGCCTAGAGAACGACGATGTCTTTGTCACCTTTTTGATCGTGGTGTGCTACTGCTAAACGAGGAAAACCGGCTTAGGCGTATTCCATATCCACGCTGACGGTTGGTACTTTTTCACACGCCAGGTAAGTTGTCCGCGGTGGCACCCTCGACCACAAGTTTAACTTTCATCGACTTTAGCCTCTAAAGTAGCCTGCATTCTTACAAAACGGCTATCGCTGATGTTATATGAGGTGCAACTAATCGATAGCATCGCGTCTGTCTTTTTCGTGTTCTGCTGTCGAGAAACCGTAGGTGTCTCTGCCATCTTTCAACAGCATAAGTGGGACGGTCATCTTGCCTTTCGGACTACCGATTGTTGAAAACGTGCCGTTTGGGATTTTGAGCGCTTACATCGAGAGGGCGTCGCCGCTGTCTCTCGTAATATTTGCAAGTAGGTTTGCGCCAAGTGGTAGGCCATGCGTGGCTTCGTGATAGATCTTCTTATTGGGCTTCTTGGTCCTTTTAATTTGATCCTGCAGCAGGATCAATGGCTTACTATTTGTCGTCATGTCTACGAACATATTCGGTGGGTTGTGCGGCTTTTCGGCCTCTGCGACGCCGGTAACTGGGTAGGGATTCGGTCGCCAGAGGGTTTCATCTCTTGAAAGTAAGTTGATGTTATATAGCAAACGATCGTTGAGAATTTGTCGAGAGCTGACAGCATTTTGTTGTTAAGCGAATATGGTAAGGAACTGACCCGTTTGCGAATACAGACGATGGCACGTGCTCGAGAGGAATACACGCGCCGTGTCGCCGAGGTGAAACCAGTTACCATTAAAGACCTTTCAAAGCGTGTCGTAGCGATGATGATGAGCCGATTCAGGATCGCGTCCGAGCTAGTGCCTGATTCAACGTTTGATTTTTTATTAGCAAATGCACAGGAATATTTCAAACCCCTGAAAAATAATAATTATGGTGGATACATTGCCTTCGAGTGCTCAGTCTCAAACAAGCTTGCTAAAATATCGCCTTGATTCGTAAGTTAGCTTCGATACTTGGTCAATCGCATGCTAAGCGTACAGCATTTCAAGCGCCGCGCCGCGCCGCGCCGTGTTGTGAGCTAGTCAGTGCCGCCATGATCGTCTGCTGGGGTGCGTCATTTAAGTCTGTCTCTTTTTGATCACCATATCAAAGCGCGCGTAGAAACACAAACATATACAGCCGTACTTGTCCAATACGTCTGGCGACAGACGAACAGCCACTCCCGAAGCCAGAGGAACTCGAGCAAATCGCTGTTACATGAGAGTAGTTTGGACGACCGCGCATGATGTCAAAAACGGCTCCATTTCTCCAGATAAACTTTTACCCTCGCGGCTGCTTGACCATCGTTTGATACGTGTCGGCATGTGCGGGTGGTGTGGTACAAGCAAAAGGAAGCCTCATTAGCCAGTCGTCAGGGTCAACAGAATCAGTTGCGATTGCGACGTTGGAAAACATCGCATCGCATTCCATCGATACCGAATGAGCAGACACGATTGCAGGAAAGACAAAAAGCGCAGAAAGAGAAGGCGATGGGGGTGCAGAGGATGGTGAAGGAAACACGAGCGAAGGAGGCCATGCGCATGACGATATAACGGCTAGTAGATCCGTTTTAGGCGCTCTGGTCCTTGGCAACTTCTGGATGAGAATGAGCCATCCGTGGAATTGGGCATGATACCCTGGAGCTTTGGTGTGAAACGTGAAGGCATGAAAGATAGAGACGAAAGAATGGCCTAGGAAGAAGCGTGTGCACCAGTCAGGGAATCCATGAGGAAAAGATTGACAACACTATAAGCGGACGGTGAAAGAATAAGATCTTTTCATGACGTGACCTGAGAGGTAGCCAGTAAATCAGTAGATTGAGCATTAGCCACATCCTAACAAAAAGGGACAGAGAGATGCAAATAGGATAATGTAAATGGCTTAGAACTATAACACTCCAGAATCCGACAGTGACGAATAGCAGAAACAGTCAGCATTTGAACTTCGTACAATCATAGCCACCGTTACGCGAAAGAAAGGACAAGGTATGTAACTGGCTAAAGCGCCCAATTAAACCGCATTTATCATACAAACATCCTCAGATCAGACGTTCACAATGACTAACAGGTGCAAAGGAAAACACTCCCATGTACGAATGCATGTAAGATTCTCACATCTCATCCGCATCGTTTAACCTCACGCTCTTCTCGATACCTGTTTTACAGTCACGATATAACTCCAGCGGGGCTGCCGTAGCAAAACGCTTGAAGAAGCATACTTTAGGTCACCGACCTTTCGTTCTTTACAAGAACCAAGTATGAGTTAGCGGATTAACTCCAAGAGTGATTTTTGCCTTCCCAAAGCTAATCGACTCTTCGGTTTAAATTCCAAACTGATTTTTAATTATATTTGTATTCTAATGTTAAGTTTAGATTATATATAGTAGAATCTAAATACATGCATAACTACTGGCTACCTAGCCCCAAAATGTATTCTTGTTTGGGTGTGTGGTCACACCATGCACATCTCGTGTGACACACACCCGTGTAACCCCGTTACAATAAGTCGCTAGATGTTTATGTGATTGCGCACAAATTTAAAGCATTGATAAAATGTTTCTACATATTAATACAGAAAAATCATCTCATGTAACAGAAATTTTATATTAAGTAGTACCATTGTTATCCTATGACGACGATATTTCTAGGTAATAATTATGTCTTTCTGTCCGCATAATCAGATTTGTCAAAGGTGAGTGTTCATTAAGCCGTTCAATACCATAACGCCTGCACTCATGAAGCGCACCGGACTTATGATACTAAAGTATCTTTATTCAGGGGTTGAATCAGAAGTGAAACGCAAGGCCAATCGTAGGTGCTACAGGCAGACATGAAAGCTAGAAGCCTCTTTCTTATCTTGTATAATTTCTGTGTATCTTGCTGGTCAGTTCTAATGAGAAGTTGAGAAAGCTCATCTGAATTGTAAAAATAGTCACGCTCTAAACGGGGGCTGGAAGTCAAGAATAATATGAAAGTACTGCAATTGTTTTTGCAAAGAAAACAAAAGTCAATATTTCACAATCCAAAAGCATGCATTGAAGTTGCGAGGTACATAGGTAACATATAGGAATGAAAAATTTACATTACTTGCTATATGTGATGCTTTTGAACATCACATATAGCACATCTGATGTTAGAACTGTACAGCGTCAATGACTTTCTGACCAGTCCCTAGATAAGCAAACAGCTAATTACTTTGACTTGCTCGTCAGTAAAAAGGATGCTGACTTAGTCTCAAATTATTCGCTACTAGATTAGTAACTGTAATATCTACTGATTTGAATTCTGCAAACAATTACCTATATAGTGGCTGTTCAACACTCCGAATGTCATTTGATACTTAGCGAGCATCACGCAGTGTGGAAGACACTATCTATTTCGCTGAGCCAAATGACTACCGTCACTAAAGTACTAGCGTAATATTTTTGAGCAATCTCAGTCGCCTTTGTTCTCCATTCGGTCTTCACTCGAGTCCTCAACTTTTTGCTGAATGTCCTCAGCCACGCCCTCCTTGACCAGTGCATATCCCATTACTAGAAATAAAAAATACCAGTATACATGCAGCACTAAAAGCATGCAAAGCATGGCAAACATCGGATAAGCAAAAGATTCTTTCCCAGATGGATGTAAGAGCTCCATTTTTAAAGTGTAGATGAGATGGCACGGAAACACGTATAGCCGCGTGTATGCCCATGAAATCAGTAGCACCATGTACATCGCCACAACAAGAGATGTTCTACCCGTATCCACAATTGACTTGATACCATCTGCGCAAGAAGCAAAAATTTTTTTAGTGAAGTAACTCAAATGCAATCATAAACGTGAACATACATCCAGTAATATCGCCTAAATCGTGCGTGTATACTACCAAAGCACCAAAAGCCGTATAGTTCGTCACATAGGATCCACTGATCAATAGAATCGTAGCCAAATGATGCAGCAGCATCTCGATGAAATCATTGCGAATTGGCGAGAAACAGACCATAAACAACAAGCTGTGCAAATGGTATCCAAGTTGAACCATAAAGTAATATTTAAGCGCACTACTTGGCGCCTCAGACTGGATATGAAAAGTCACCGCCACATCTCCATCACCTCCTAATGTTGCAGGAAACCACGGTTCGTGCTGCATCACTTTGAAGCCCACGATAGAGATAACAACAAAATATCTAGTTACACCAAACATTAGTATAGTACGTCAGCGGCAACGTCTTTCCAATCATAAAACATCACATCAAGTGAACGCACATAAGTTTAAAAAGAACCGCAGAGAAGCGGTGAACGCGATTTACAACCAGACGTTTTTTGGGCGATAGCACAATACGCGCTAGAGGAACAAAAGCCTTTCCAGCTGCAAATCGCGCACCAATTAATAACAGCGATACACCACCTCCAATAAGCAAGTCTGCAAACTGTGGCATGCCCGGGGTGCCGTCATGTAAGGCTTGGTTCATGCTTCGCTCTTGCAATACCTCAAACATTTCCAGCAACATGATGGGCACCAGGATCAGTGTCATGGACACCAACACGTACTCCTTGATGCTCAACGAGACCTTCATCTCGGTTGACATCCCAAACTTTTGGGGGGCAGGCTTACTTACTTTATACTGTACATATATAAGACACAAATCTTAATATTGATAATTATTTAAACATGCATCCTAAATCCTATTGTTTTGTGGTTTAGTGATGGAGATTACAGAGCTCTCTGTGCGTCAATCTTGCCTTAGCGATAGTAGACGTTGAGAAGCCGACAAGCGAATTTAGAATCGCCTAAACATATTTACAGCTTTTCAAATATCTGATATATTTCCTAAATACAGGAGCGGGACATTCGTCAATTTAGGTATAACAAAACTGCCAAGAGGTGGAAACATTTTGCACAAGCATCGATCTATTTTGCGCAATATTTCATTTAGATAAGCTTGCAAATAAATGAGTAATAGATTCCTGATGCACTGTAGATCGTTTTCCTTTCTTCCAATCAAGAACAAAGCAAAAGCTAAGCGATCATAATTAACGCGTAGCATACAGTCAACACATCATTGTGTCTTGGTATGGACATTTGTGAACACAATCGCTGACAAGCTATTCTTGTCCATTCGCTATTAAAAAGCAGCAACAATGCTGATCAGAATCCTAAATAATTAACTAAAATGCTGTGGTTCGCAATGTCAAGGCGATATTTCGTCAACACAGACTCTGTCAACGACAAAAAAATAGTGTACAAGTATGCCAGACGAATGAAGATATGGGAATCGCGCACTTAATTTGACATTGTTTGTTTCATGACAGGGATATAGTTGGTACTAGGCATGAAACAAGCAATGTGCTCTGGATTGGATAGGCCGCTATGTAGAGCCGAAACTACGACACAGCGCCAGCAGTGCTCTTGCAGGTGCCAGATCCTTGAACCGTCAAAAAGTTATGAGACCAGCTACGCCCTCAAAGAAAGTCAAATCGAGTCGGTCATGGCGTTATCAGCGAATTGAGAGATATAATTGTTGGGACAATAATGATGCGTACAATACGAAAAGCGTCATGAACACCATCTCACTTCTAAGAACTTACTACACATGAAACTGTTCGATGCAATATCTTACTGTAAAATGGGAATATCTCGTGCTCTCTGGCTGAAGACGCGTACACGAAAATCGTGAGGGCTTGTTGTTACCGTACGGATCGCAACAGACCAAGAACATGAGGTGTAACATGAGTGCGAAAGGCAGTCTCTTCCAGGCAATAAACTGGCGACAGGGTATATATTACATATTCTTAAGACTAGGTCCGAAAATTTCAAGTACTTGGATCTCTCTGACATAGTTCTAGCTTTTATGTTATCGTTTCATTCGAAAGTAAAATTGACATTTTAGTTGAGCTACTGCCGCTGTCGTAAACGGAAACAGCCGAGCCTTCCCCTTTAATACCCTGCTTCGTCTGACGTTGTGGACTAGAGCACATTCTTTGAACATTTGGCGCAAAGCATCAACCGTTGTCACCTTTTCTTTTTCATCACGTAGATAATGTAACATTCCCGATCTCCAATACAATCACTTTGTCAAAAAAAATCAAATAAACTTCAATTTCATAATCCAATGAAAGCAAGCTGATGATGGAGATGAGAATTTAAAGCGCTTCACAGATAATTAAATATAGTGCATCATCACACGCCAGATTTTAAATTCGATCTAGTAGAGAATGTAATCACGCTTTTCCATTCCGGGAAATGGACGCCAAACATCTCTTACGTGTGAACGGTCAGGTGACGATTAATCGGCAATATGTGAGTGATTGCATACAGATTGCACACACTTGTCCAATAGGAAGCGGAGAAAATAGCGCAAATCGAAAAAGCAGAATGTGGAAATGCCATAAGCCAACCTTTAGAAGGTCTTAGTCGTTCATCTTTTCCAGATTAAAATTGTTCGACAGAGAGTTCATTGATATCGTATTACGAATATATGAAATATCAAAAGAGCAAGAATAGTTCACTGCTTTCGGCAACTTCAATAGCTATGACTAAGACAATTAATTCATTGTCATGTGAACCATTTATTTTAGAGATGAAAGAATTGTTAACTATGCTATTTATCCTTAATTCTTTGGCGCCTGCAGCCACAAATTGTAGCGTTCAAGCTCTGAGACAGCTGAGACGATAACGTTCTTGCGTCCATTTATGTGTCCAGGATGGTCTCTGTGGCATCTTGTGCTAAGGATTCTGTTGACTTTTAGACTCACCATTTTCAAACGCACAGAATGTTGGAAACAAATTAAGTCTTCACCTAAATAAACCAGGAGGAGTTATAAAACTCCCAACCATTTGCATAATTACATAGCTAAAAGCAGAATACATTCACTTGGAAACTTACCTTCGAACCACCAGGTCCTTCCTTCCTATCTGTCATTTACAGCATTTTGCGCGGAAGTAGCGTATCGGGCCACCGTTTTAGTTCAACGCAGAATACTAGATTGAAGGCCGCCTCTACGACGCAGAACCACTATCCTCTTACGTATCGTGTGCTCATGTTACAGAGTTCTAGTTTTGAAATTAAGTGTAACTAGTCAAACGTACTCTGTAATATAAGTGTCATTTTTTGGAGTCGTTAGCTTGATATGCAACGGACTACCAACAGCGCTTTTGTGTCAAAGGATCTGTTAGTTCTTTACTTTTCTCTCAAAGTAGAATCGACGGAGCATCTGTGTGAAAGAAAGACATACGAGAAGTCAACTGGAACGATAGCAAAGATAACAGCGACTTCATTGACAGAACTCATGACACCAAGACACCGTCGCTTCAACTGATGAGGATCACGTTTGACGACATGCATAAACAGCGAGTATAATTGTGAGCGATTTTTTGTGTAAATGCCCCCGCGTGCGCTGGTGTCGACGCTGGTGACATTCGAAATGGTTTGGCGAGGTTTTTCCGATGCGAAATTATCGGATTAATCGATACTCTATGTGTTTCCAAATGGTTTGTTAATTCCGTGTAGCAAGGAGGTCTCTGTTGTCGTTCAAGCACCCTAACCAATATTGAGTCGTCGGTAGGCTAACAGTATTCGTTTCAATGACAAGGTGACAGCGCATCCGACGAGCGTTTCGACTGGTAGCATGATCCGAGTACTGTTGGGTTGATCCGATTTTGGATGGTCATGATCCAAGCTGGGGAGGAATGCGACACTATTATTGGCGGGTTTGGGCAAAGGAAGCTGTGAAGAAGATTCTAGACCTTACTTGTGGTGGGCATGTTCACGCACACAAGAAACAGAACATCTGCTTTGATCGCGCATTGTGGCATGAGTGTCTTCTCTTACTTATCCATCATATCCGGTCGGTTGAGCAGCTGGAAGGCAGCTAAGATTTTCTGCCGGGTAAAGACTCATTCAACGCACTCGAATATGTCCTTCCTTTCTCATCAAATTGTGGAACTGTGGTGATTCTTCGTTTGTCCGTCACGAGTATTTCAGCAGTGAAGATCATAGTCTACGATTCGCTTCGCGATCCAACACTGAGTTCGTGAAGTTTCGATAAACAGGGGAGCATCGAGCTGAATTTTTGCTGCACCGTCTAAATATATATTTTAGCCTAGAGTCCATGACAGAAATATATTGCAAGCGCCCGACTGTATATTCAGATACAGCCATGATATCGTCGGAATGTATAGTGTTCAGGCGTCACCGATAACCAACGTTATCATAAACGGCCCAATGAAGTGCAGAGCCAGCATTGCCTTCGCCGGGCTTGGTAACTGCAGATATTTATATTCGAGAGTATAGATCTCCTATTGTAACGGGGATTTCACGTGCCCTGGTAGAATGAAGAAGTTCTGAGTCTTCGGCTAAGGTTGTCGTTACTCTTGGAGTAAGTGGATATAGTCCGCTACACTTGTACTGGTTCTAAGTATAACGAAGGTCACCGATCTGAACTAAGCTTTCTCTAAGCGAAAGAGCTACGGCAGCCCCGCTGCACCTATCGAAAGTATGACCGTGTGTCTGCGGCTTCTTGTCAGCATTTATTCACTACGAGTATCGAAAATAGCAGGTGATAGCTTTTCGCTCCAAACAAAGTTGAAGAATATGCGGTGTCGATCTATTGCCCTGCTCGATTCAGCGCGTAATTATTAGGCGTGTGTGTAGTATCAGGATCAAATGATTTTGATAGACTAAAGCTGCCAGCAAAGAAGCCGCATTGCGCGGTGTAAACAAGGTCGTCTTTGCTTTCAAGCGCGTAACCTTTTCAAGCGATGCACCTTCTGGATAAGTATATACGACATCATCGGTCAACTATGCTTGGATCTGATCCCATACTGGTGTTATCACTGTTGAAGCTGCAGCTGGCGTTATAAGTAATTTTCCCGCGACTAGAGTATAGATGCACAGCACACATAGCAAGACGAGCATAAACGCGCTTTAACGCTAGGTCGCGCTATTATAATGAAAATGCGTCACTGAAGTAAAAGCGTGTACCAAGTTGTTCAGTTCAAACGCAACAACAGAAAGGAACAGGCTCTCAATAGAAAAGACGGTCGTTTGACTCCGAAGTGCGTTTGCTAAGATGCCATTTACGCACTTGATTGGGTCACAATTTAGTGGCAGATGCGCTATCGCGTTATTTCGATAATTTTTATGTATGTTTAGTGTTGACATCGCTAATTGATGCGGCGATGCGTACAGCGTATGGGTCAGACGCAACATATGTTAACCTTCTTAAAGCTTTCGGAAGCAAGGCAAAACAATGACAGCCAAAATACTACTTTAACAAAGCACATGATTGCACGTCTGTACCGCTACGTCTCGTTCCAAGGCCTTCCGTGTTACAGGACTGATCCACATGACAATCAGCATGTCGTGTCATTCATGATGAGAGCCTCTTGTGCAGAATATTACACCAGGCACATGACACCCCATTGAGTGTCCACCTAGATAGAGAGACGACATACTGGTATGCTCTGCAATTGGAGACCAACATCTACAAAGTAAATGTGCGCCCGTGTGGGTCACTTTTCGAAGGCTTGAAGCCTCGTTACCACCACCTCCTTCCAATGTTGTTGCCAAAAATTCACGGAACTGTGGTGCATGAAATTAGGACATCGACATCGCCGACTCAAGAATTACCGTTGCTCCCTTCCCTAAAAATGACACTTCAGCTTGAAATCGGCATTTGCCAAAGGCAAGATCTTTCGCCAGCCAACAAGGCCCAATAGAGTGCTGGCAATCATGAAATTGATTGAAGTCTTCGTTTTATAAGTAATGCATCCAGTTATACCGGTATTGTGATATGTGTGGACCGTCCGCGCAAGATGGCTCATCTTGTTGCAAACGATACAGACAAACCGATTTCGCAAACATATCTTGTTGTTAGTTATTTTATCTGAATCATATTCGTGCTTGAAAGCAAAGGTTTAGCAAATGTCGCACAAAATCTCGGCACCATTTATATTGGAAATGCAAACCGCTAGCTATCCGTATACAAATTGTCCGACAGAGTGCGTCGACTACATTGTTGATGATTTCCTCTAAGAACTTTTTCAAACCCCAGGTTTCCTTGAACTCACCGCGGATGGTTTCAGTCTTAGCGGAAAAGAGGCCGCCGATAAAATTTAACGAGCTGTGTTCATCTCAGCAGTACTTCAAAGCAAGAACAGAGATTTGAGATTAAGCATCATGCGCAGACTGCGTGATGCTATGTCTGAGAGTCCAGATTACCAAAAGTAACCCGTCAATGCCAGAGTCAGGGAAAAACACATATGAACATGTCGTAGGGATTTTACTGAATGCGATCAACGCTCCCATATACGCAGTGTCTGGGATCTGTCGGACTTGATTGCGACCGCACCCCATGGAGTAGTTCACAGTCGTAACAGGAGGGTTTTTGTTGCACCCCGAGTATTTAAGAAGATACAAACTCATCCTGCACTTTAGGTGGGGTTACTGAATTTATACGAGATTCCTCCCTACGAGGTAGTCAGTTGTAACCCGCTTCGTGCAGCGTCCATATCATTCATTCCCTGTAAATGCGCTACCCTCTGCTTCAAAGCAGCGATGCAGCTCTGAATAACAGCTATTCTCATGTCATAAGATTTGATGGCAAGTTTCAGTGAGCGACTCCGAGATTGGGCTCGTTTTAGCCTCCAACACGCGCTGGAACTCTCCACCGGTTCTGTTCTCGGCAACTTTCATGTAGAGTTTGACGGGCTAGTGGGTACACTGGACCTGTTAGCGCTACTTAAGGAAGTCTAAGAAATTCCTCATTGCAAACTCCTCATTGCAAACTCGTGATGGGCACAATGTCCGACTTCGCTGTCATGCCCTTATGGTATGACATCATCGCATATATATCTCCCTCTGAGAAGAGTCAAGGTCGCCCGGCGCAGCGCACTTCCACAAGCAGGAGGCGATCGACCATGCGGTCAAACAAATCCTTGGTCGATAGCTGATACGGTCATGCAGACACGCGTGGCCGTAAACAGCAGAAGCTTAAGGTGATGGGTTGTCATCGCGTCGTTTATTTATCTTGCAAAACCAAGTATGAGACGACAATCCACGCGGATATTTGTTTCGTCGAAGCTAGCAAGCAATACATAAAGACGGGTGAGGCGGCGTTTTTCTCACCCAGTACGCGAACTGAATCTGACGCTCATAAGTACTTTTGCCAGCTTCCAGTACTCATAGTACATCCAGCATGACGAGTACGGTTTTTTTTCAACCTTGCTGCATAAAGCGCAGATATTACTTCTCGAGAGTAATACCTGCGGGCTGAGAAAGCACTCGTAAAGCGACAATCTTAAGCTTATTTCACTATAGGTATGAGCGTTAAATCCGGATGCGTAGGTTTCTAAATCTTTGCACCTGCGCAATTAGCTGTTTTAAGCAGTTTGAAGTCGTGATCACGGCATATTGATTTCGGCAAAAGTCTGAGTGACCGTTGCGCTTAAAGTAGATCAAACTAGTCTCCAAGAGCTGATGGCGACGAGCTGAACATCGTCGCAAGTTGTACGGGAGATATCAAAATATTTCTCACTTATGAATATTGGACACAAAGGCGAAACCCGTGTTGTGATCCGTTCCCATTTGGAGGTCAGCTGGGCCGTGTATCGCCGGGTGAAGACAAAAGTGTTTGGTCGTTCCCGAATACTTTGCTCTAGGCACAACACCGTGCCTGTTCCTCAGGGCATATTTGCATCTAAAGATATCTTCCACCAAATACAATGGCTAAACAAGAACGCGGTATTCGCGACTGACGCGCGTTTGAGTGTTTCGCAAGGATGCCAAGATGTCCTAATCTGCAAACGGTTCAGATGTCCCAGCGGAGTTATCGCTTGTGGATCGATCACTTTCGCGCAGTGTCATAAAAAGAAAAATAAGTGTGTATACCAGTGCGGTTCGCATCTTTGTGGAGACATCCTGTGTATATAATACTTGCACGTTTGATAGATTTTCACTCCACACTGTTCTGTAGCTACTGCTGGAGACAGAAAATCAGTGTAAGAAGTAGCTACGTCAGCAATCCAGCTAACGTAATCGCTACACTATCACCGTAAATTGCCGGTCGGGATCCAAAGGAAAAAAGGATAATGCTGCTCGTCGCCAAACCATGTAGAAGGGTGAAGTGTTGGTATAACCATAAACCTTCTTTGAAAATATTAAATTCGAAATTTTTAAAAAAAAAGAAATTAGAAAAT